AGGAAGACCAAAAAGAACATTATCACGAATAGAAGAATTTTGAAGCCATGCTTGTTGCGCAACGTAAGCGGTACAATTCGGAAGAATCCAGTTGTTTTCATTGATATTTTTATCAATAGGACATGTAGAACAACGTGGACCATTGATCCTGCCACTAATGATATTCGTTTCTGTTGATAAAGATATTAATCGAGGTAATTGGATTTACAGTAATACAAAAGCATGTACGTATACTAAATTGAATTTATTTACCTCCAAGAATTGACATTAATAATAATGTCTTTAACCAACGTGCATTATATAAATATATTAATGTTTATTAAAAATATTTTAAATCATACATATTTGCAGGCATGTTGTACTCAACCTTTCCGGATCCGGTTGGTCCCCCTAAAAAAAAATATATAAATACAAACTATTTATAATCTAGCATAAAAAAAGCTCTTTAAATAATGTTAGACTTACCAATGATACTTAATTCACCCACAGGAAATTCCAAGTTCAAATCTTGCATAATAAACTCACCACTATTTTCCTTAATCTTATTCCATGAGATGGTTGCTTTTTCAAAAGTGATTGACTTCATAAATGGATAATCATTTTCAGGAGGAATATTGATCTCATCCTCATTTAAAAATTTTTCTATTCTACGTATACTGATCAATACTTGAAGTCCATCCATAAAAGTTTCAGGCAGATTATTAAGGGCAAATCGAAGTTCATTGAAAATAGCTATCGAAGTGAAAGCAATGGCAGCTGTAAGCTCATTTCCTTGAATTTTGGTAAAGAAGAAAAAACTGAGAATAGTGACTAAGATAGGTGAAGCCGTCCACAATAAATTAAATATGGACAAATAAATAAAGTTATTTCGAAGTTCTTTAAGCTCAATTTTGCGTGACTCTACAAAAAAAAAAAGGCATGGTTTTCAACATTTGCAAGTTTTACAAATCTTGCGAAAAAAAGGAAAGTAATATGCACCCAATACTTTATTTTCCCAATTCTTTTCCCAAGAAAAGAATTTAATCATACGAATGCCTTGTAAAACCTTTCATTTGGAAATAGAATAAGTTTACAAAGGGATAAATTGGTAGCATCTACAATATTGGACTTACTTCATTCATAAGTTCCACTCTACGGTCTCTAGCACTCATAAGCTTGTCTTGAGTTTTTGCATATAACTTGGCCGTTTGATGATTAATTGGAAGTGTAATGATCATGACAAACAAACTGAGCAAACAAGACACACCCAATAATTGATATAAAAAATAAATGCCAACTGCTAATTCTATCGGACTATCAATTATATTTGTCCACCATACAGAGAAATCACTAATACGATTTGTATCAATTGACATAAGATTAGTAACTTTGCCAACAGACGAATTATCATTGTCGATATCATCCAAATTGTCCTCAGATTTATTAGATTCATCTTTCACAATTGAAACATGAGAATCAATTCTCCTTAAACTTTTTGAATAGATTTCAGAATTAAGCATCCCCTTTACACTAATATTAAGTGCGTTTCCAGACCAAAACCAATTCTGTGTAATAATAAAACGTAATATAAGAGATGATATAAGCATTCCAAATATATATACAAATCCAAGCTCCAATGATCCATTTTCAGGTCTTGTTTGAATAAACGATAGAAAACGGTACAAGAAAAATATTGGTGTATAATATAATGCAGAACCCATTATCGTGAATAAAAGTTGTAAGCCTATGACATGTTTATTAGTCACCAATATTCGATACAAGAGTTTACTTCCTCTGGTTTTTTTGAAAGCATTATACAGTGACCTAGCTTGATAAGCAAATGGAAGTAAGTCAAGATCATTATTATTGAAAGTCTTTTGTTTGTAAGCTTTGAGAATTAATTTAGAAGCAGAAGAAATATTAATAAAGTCCCATATTGAACAATACTCGATTGCACAAACATCTCTTCCATTTTGAAGTATTGGTGGACCCATCGGTGTTGTGATAGCAATCGATGTAGCCATCACAGAGAAAACAAAGTTACATATTACAATTAATTTTTCAATTATTTCGTCTATGCGATAAGAACCATTAAATTTTATAACAGTTATAAGTTGCCAAAGTGAGCATAGAGAAGATGTAAAATAAAATGCAGTTGAATATGCATTTAATATCCACTTCCAACGTCTTGATTTCAATGTCAAAGCAATAATTGAAATTATAAGCGCATAAAACTTTTGGATCGAAGTATAAAAAGAAAGTATGAGAAATAAACGATATCGACAATAAAGAAAGCTAAAGTAAATAAAGTAAATAATAAAAAATAATGATAATATTTACCCAACAAATTGCAAGAATCCCGGGACTTAATGTATCAAAATTTAGATTAATTTCATGTTTAATTTTCCAAAAGAATAAAAAAGTAAACAGTCCAGTTTGCAATATCGTAATTCCAAGTTTGATGACATCCCTTTTTACCGTTGAGAAGCGCGCATTATCAGCTATATTATCGGGAACTTCGTCTGGTGGTATTTCAAAATATTTTTTTCGATTTCGAATAGTTTGTAAAATTATAGATATACTACTGATTGCTACGACAATTGCTGGAGGAAGTGTGTTCACTATGGACATTTTTTTTTTATTAAGTTTTTGTGAAAGCGGCAAGATTTAACGTTAAATGGATTCTTGTGCAATCTTTTCAACATTTATGTTCATTAACTACTCAATAAACTAACCCAGTACTGCAGTATCGCTACCAAAAAGTTACAGACATATGATAGCGCAAACCAATAAGGAAATAAGGAAAGTTCAAAAACAAACGCTCGTTTTTGCCAAAAATTGCAAATTAATTAAACAACCTAGCATCGCCCATAAAAAATTTAGCTGACGTCACTTGTAAATATAATAATTTTTAAACCATTCTTTTCATGACTTTCAGATGACGAACATATTGTCATGATAAATTACGTCAAATGGTAAATTTTATGTAAATACCTAGACCATTTTTTAACAGTTAAATTGATTACTAATAATTATAATAAATTGATTACTAATATATAATTATAAAGTCTTGGCAGCAAATGAAAAACTATAAACAACTTTTTACAAATGTGCTCACTACTTACAAAATGTCAATTTTTTCTGTTTGGCATATGCACATCTGTTCAAAATAAATGTGTGCTGCGCAGCAGGGGTGAACGTCCCATCAATTTGAAGATCGTTACACAATTGATAAAAATTTTATTTATATTATTTTAAAGTACTTTTTTAGGAAGCTGGCGTAACCTAAGGCTACTATGAAATGTGAGCAAGCCACTAAGCAAACTTGAAGCTTTAGTGCCGTACTATAACATATTCACTTAATCTCTGTTAATCCCACAGCGTTCATATTTAATTTAACTGTTAAATTATGTTTGAAATTAAGGAATGTATAGAGTGCAAAGCCACAGAGTCACCCAAATTTCGAGCGTTAAAGGCGGAATTGTGGAAGGAGGCTGAAAGTAAAGGCTTAACAAAGGTAACGTAGAAGGAAGAGGATATTTTGTGTAATCGCTGTTACATGTGTTTTGTAAAAAATCCTTTAACAAAAAGTACTAAACGAGTAAGAATCACAAATGAGAAATCTAGAGAAGCAAAAATTATAGCGGATGAAGATATAGAAGCTGTTTCGGGTGAAAGTATGAAAGCCATGAGTGAGAAAAAAGTAAACATGATAGATCTCACTGGTGCTATTAAGGCGATGGCAAAAATATTTTATAATAGAGAGCACGTAAAAAAAGAATGTCCGATCTATGTATTTGATGAAATACGAAAATTTCTTCAAGAAAGTGAATCAAGCTTAGAAGATTTCATTGATTAGCTTTATTCAGCAGCTCGGTCGTGTGAACGTAATGAGCAAACTATGAATCGTATGAAAAAATTAATGGTTCTTATTTGTTATTTGCTTGCTTCATTGAACAACATGAAAATTAATGCCTTTAAGTTAGATATTGCAAATTATCTAGATTTGGTAGAAATGACGAATGAAGGTGTGAACACAATAGCAAATATCGGTATATCTACAACATCAAGAGCAGTAACTTAGCGAAAGAAAAGAATGTTTGATGCTCATGAAGAATATGCGGAGAATGCATTTTTTCAGCATATGGAGAATATACTTGTGTTAAACGTTGACGACTATTATAATATCCATGTTTCACATCACTCTGATACTACTGCGACTTCCAGGCCAATACATATGGCGACTATTTTGGTGAATCCATGCCTAACTCCAGCAATACCATATAATGGTGCACTTAATTCAAAGTTCTTGGATAGCGACTTGATTATGAAACATCTTGATAGTTGATTTATCGTGAATCTTGGCATTTCATATAATGACCGTATGGAGAGCACAAGGAAGGTATGTACTGATGAAGAACTAATAAATAGGCTAATAATACACAGTTATGATGACAGGCTCGCAGAGGCAAGTAACGATTGACATATACGTCATTCTATCCTTATCGACTTTGTTCAAAAAAGTTTAAAAAATATTGGAGGATATATAGATGCTATTCAAACATTATACGATAAGGAACCTATGCAACAATATCTTTCTAATTATGTGGTTCCTATTGTTGCGGATTGGCCAGGCCAGTTTTTCATTTGTAAAGCTATTGCACAACAACTTCTGCGCAATAACAAAAGTATTCTAGAGTTCATTATGTCATTTTTGCCAATTATAGGACCTCTTTATGTATTCTTGAATGCCTGTGAACTGGTTTATATGAAGAATTCCTTTTTATTTATTGATATTTACAGGGGTATATTTGGAAAAAATAAAAATCTCGGTAAGACACCATAGCCATAGAGAATTAATTTAATTCTTCATATCGTACATATAGCGTGGTCTAATATTATTGATGCGGTTTATTCTAAGTTTGGTAATACATGTAAAAATATTGAATTTTTGTATCTAACTGATCTTTTAAGCAATTTAGTTCCTCTGGCTCTAGACGTTTATGCCATGCATCATCATGAGGGAGATTGGCCTGCTTATGAGGAAGCATACATGCGTTGTTGGAGAGATCTTTTTCTCTGATTTGATCGGAAAAATTACAAATGCGCTCCCTTAATGTTCTTCTCAGATGTCTTTTATTGGATGGAAACTGGTCATCCAATGTTTAATATTATTACTAACCATCTAGCTTCTCTTAGTGATCGTCCTGTTGAAATTGCGCATAGCATTATTCAAAGACGTACGGCTAAGTATTTTACAGCTCAGCAATTGCGAAAAGAGACGCACTGTATTTTCCAGCAATAGCATGACAATTTCTTTCAGGAAAATTTTGTACATTATACAAAATATCTGTATACGCCGCAACAGTTGGACATGCTTTCTCAGAAGTGTTCTATACAGCTTTTAGAAATATTTGCCAAGGTGTACCAGAATCGTGACAAATAGCCTATTATTAAATCCTCGAAAGATGGTATCAATATATACCAGTTACCTTCGTTAAACTACGAAGTGACAGATCGTCACCTTCCGAGAGGTTTTGTCACTTCTAAAAAACCTAATACATCTATTTTATGTGATTCGATGTATTTCAACAAGATTTACAATTTATCTAATAGTTGCGTTTTGGCTTGTGGGCATGGCTATCATAATTATTGCTTACAAAAATCATATTTTAAATGTCTTATATGTTTAGGTTATCTTCAAGATGAAGTTAAGAAAAATATTGATGCACTAATAGTAAGTATGAATGGCAAATTAGTTGAAAGTGAATCAATTGATGAAGAAGATAAAAGCGTAGACACGAGTTGTTCAGATGATATAGACAAAATAATAGACAATAAAGTCAAAATAGAAGATTTATTAAAATATGTAAAAATTACATTCCAACAATTGTAATAAAAGTTATACAATAAATATATATATTTTCTAAAATAATAACTAAATTATTCACTAAATAATGACTAAATTATTATCTAATACTATCTAATACGTGATGATCGATGCCGATATGCATGATGTCGATCAAGCCATAATTTGTATAACAATAGACATTTACCTTGCTGTGCTGCACACAGTCTGCATATTAAAAAATAATCACTATTGATTATTATGAGTCACGTGACGCCCATAAGCTAAATCAACAGGAGGAACCTTCACCCGATATGCAATATATAAAAAAATTATTTTACAATACCAGATCATTCTACTAGTATATGTTATGATTATAATCCCACACCATATTATTATAATAAAAATGGTGGGATTAGTAATAATTACATGTACTAGCGGAATGATCTGATATTATAAAATAATTTTTTTTATCGGGTAAAGGATCAGTTGACGGTTCCTCCTGTTGCTCAATTCATCTTCATTGTTACTGTAACTCACATGTGACTCAGCTAAATTTTTTTTTTAAACGATACTAGGGTTGTTCGCAAAAAGATCACTTTGGTGCACTAACAAAAATTTTTCCTTGAGCAATTTTACTAATATACCCACACTATCACCTAACCATAATATAAACCTTAACATTAACGAATTTTAAGAATTTTTGTCATTGTGTCGAGATTTCTATTAATCGGTATAAGAAAAAAAACCATCAAAAATCGATATCTCAAAGTTTATTAAGAAAACCAACTTATGTAACAATTATCAAATTTTAAAAAAGTTTTATTAGTGGCATATTTATGAAACCTAACAGTCAGAGGATATATTACACAATCTGTACTGCTATATAGTACTCCGGATAGATTAGCTGAGAAACAAAAATTCAACAGATCGGCCTGAATTATAGGTCAGATTTTGTCGGATTTAGACCGGCATTAAGAAATATAGTCAAATCTGTCTAAATAAATACTGTATAAATGAATATTTTGTATAAATGAATACAAAATTTCAGAACCAAGTTGGTTACTAAGGCTAATTGTATAAACTGCTTAACTAAATAATGCATAAAAAATTTTTAGTTTTATTAATAAAAATTTGAAAATTACTTAATTTACACCAGGTGTATATACACCATACTAATTTATTGATTTATGAATTTGTTTAATATATAAATTGTAAACGAAAAATTAGTATAGTTTAAGGTTAGGGTGAGGGTAGCTTTAAGGTTAGAGAAGATTATAGTTTATACTAAAATTTTGCAAGGAATCTTTTTTGTTAGAACCTCGAAGTAGGTTTTATAATCAAAATTTTGAGATATCAATATATGTGTATATATACACCTGGTGTACAAATAGCAATCGTCTAAAAATTTATGCTATCTGAATATTTTAAATTTTAGCTGAATAATTGTTACACAAAATTTTATAATTTGATTAGTTAAATTATAAAATATACTAATTTTATTAATATTTTTATATAATTTAATTTTTTGTAAATGAATAACCTGTTTAAATAAATACAAAATTGGTCCACTGATCATATTCATTTAGAGAGGTTTGACTATAATAACAACTACCTGTATTATACCAAAGTTATTATCTAGGCAGCTTTATTTAGTAAGTAGGCTATGGTTAGAGTTGGTATTGCATAAATTATATTTTTACATTGCATGAAATTACATTGTAACTTATGAAACTATAATGTAACTTTACATTGAATAGTGTATTATCATATGATAATTGCA